GTGAAATGTTCAAAATGATGTTCATATGACTCGTGACTCCCGAGTCATATGAAATATTTGTTTATATTGAACTCACGAATCACTCACAAATCACACTCTGCGAACTAATCACTCACTGCGAACAAATCGCTCTCTGAACTAATCTTTCGCTGTGAACTAATCACTATGAACGGATCATTCTCTGTAAACTAATCTTTCGCCTCGTTCTCGCAGATTCGTTTCATTTCTCACGTGACAGAGAACTCGGGTCTCTTTTGTTCTCATTCATCTTCACATTGTGGTGTGTTTTTATTTCTTAGCTTTTCGCGTGGTTTTAATTACTTATGGTATTTTGTCAGTGGGTCAGTGGGAAAAGGTTTCCCTCAGATAAATACTAACACTAGGAATGAATGTGAGAGTGATTGGAGAGTAACTAAGTGGAAGTCAAAAATTCTTTGTGGTTCTGAGGTAGACTCCCAGAGTGTGACCGTGTCCAGTCCTATACTGGCCGTATAAGCTTGTCACGGTGGAACCCACTGAAGCCCAATAGAGGCATTCTTCCTACATGCAGTTAGTGAGAGAACAAGTCTCTCACTAACTGCATAGTTCATATAAACAATGGGAAATTGTCGTAGTTATTACTGTGGGGGGAAGAAAGAGGAAGAATTAGAAGGAGTTGGTAAATACATGGACAGATATCATCCGGGGTCAGCAAAATATTTAACTAAATGGAAAAAGAAGTTTGAAGGAAAATTACAAGTAAAATCATGTGAAGATTTAGTCTTCAAATTAACTCTAAGGGTGGGAATAAAAGGAAGGAAACAGGAAAATAATGAACAAGTAATGGCAAAAAAGTGGTTGAAACAAGCAAAGAAAAGACTGGAAGGTGCTTTCAAAAAGAAACCCGAAATTGAGGGTGCACTGAATTGCCAGAAAGATTATGATAATTATGTTCCTGTGCGATGCACTCAGCCTGCAGCAGAAGTGCAGTTACAGATGGAGCAGAATCAAATACCACAGGCTGTAGGAGGGGTCATAAACTCACCCCCACATCTAGAGTCACGGCCTCCACAAACTAGTCAGTTGTATCCAGATTAACCCAAAGAAAACTCAAATCAGTTTGACAATCAGGAACCAATTTACCCTACTAAAAAGAAACAAAGAAAACAAAAAGAAGGGGATCATAGTATGGTTTTACAAAGCAATGTAGCAAAATGGAAGAAATGGAGAAATATTAAATCAGAAGATGAGGATAATGAGTCAAAAATAGAAGCATTTCCAATGATAGCTTTACCCGATGGAAATGGGGATTCTGTGTTGACACAGAAGCATGGATCCAAACATTTTTCTCTGGCAAATTAGACTCTGTTACACAGGGACTACCACCATGTGTTCAGGCAGTAGTGGCAGCAGCACAAGCAGTACATGCAGCAGCAGAAGTAGTTTTGTATCACAAAACTAACCTAAAAGTGCCTCACGCAGTAGCGACACTCATATTACAAACAAAAATGTCTTTTCTTTCACCAGCAAGAAATTTACATTGCATGGCTATTCTGTTATCACAGCCACATATAGAAATAGAGAGATGTACAACACCTAATCCTGCTACACTACTACCAACTCCTGAGGACGCAGACCCTCATGATTGCTTAGCAGAATCAGAGAAAATGTACAAACCAAGAACGGATTTGACAGACGTGCCACTAAAAAACGGAAACGTATTGTACGTTGATGGATCAACTCAGAAAAATAGCATGGGACAAAACTGTGCAGGTTATGCAGTAGTAACACAGACTGAAACCTTGAAAACAGGCAAATTACCATTAAATTATAGTGCTCGGGCCGCAGAAATAGTGGCGTTAACAGAAGCATTGAAGTTATCAAAAAGAAAAGACGTTACCATTTTTACTGATAGCCAATATGCGTATGGTGCAGTACATATTTTTGCCCAGTTGTGGAAAATAAGTAATCTGGGAAATCTGTAATGCACCATAAACCTTTACAAGAACTATTGAAAGCAATCTCACTTCCTAAAAAAGGAGCTGTATGTAAATGTGAAGCACTTACACGAAAAGATGGTCCAATTTTACAAGGAAATGAAAGAGCTGATGAAGCCACAAAACAAGCAGCTATGACGTTTGAAAACACAGACGAAACACAGACATTAACACAAGATATTGATACATGCGACACACAGGAAGTATTGAAAACACGACAAGAACAGGCATCTAATACTGAAAAGCATAAGTGGATGGCCCAAGGAGCAAAGATAGAAAATTGCATTTTTATAGGGACAAATGAAAAACCATGGTTACCTAAGTCATTATTCAAATGGACTGCAGTTATGACACATGGGCCATGCCATGCGTCAGCAGGAGGGATGTTATCATTACTGGACAAGCACTTTAATACAAAAGGATTCAATTTATTTTCTAAAAATCTTTGTAGACAAAGTTTGATTTGCATCAAGAAAAATGCACAGGGCCAGGTGTGAACAAGACGGGGGAACTTCTGTATTTCAAAACGGAAATATTTCTCAAAACTGGACTTTCGGTCCAGACAGAAGATGCTAAGTGATGGAAGACCAACGCCAGAGCTAAAAGGTTAGCTTCAAACCACTGGACAAAAGAGTCCATCCATCCATCCATCCATCATCAACTGCTTATACGGGGCCGGGTCGCGGGGGCAACAGTCTGAGCAGGGACACCCAGACTTCCCTCTCCCTCAACACTCCCTCCAGCTCTTCTGGGGAGACCCCAAGGTGTTCCCAGGCCAGCCGAGTGACATAGTCGCTCCAGCGTGTCCTAGGTCTTCCCCTAGGTCTCCTCCCAGAGGGACGGCACCCGAGCACCTCCCGAGGGAGGCGTCCGGGGGGCATGCGATGTAAATGCCCAAGCCACCTCAGCTGACTCCTCTCGATGTGGAGGAGCA